TATATCTATCTACATCTATATATCTATATCTATCTATCTATCTATCTATCTATCTATCTATCTATCTATCTATCTATCTTTGCTTTACTTCCTTGCCCTTTGTTCCAGACAGGGAAAGACCAATGATTACACCTTAGAGAGCTGCTCAAAAGCTTTAATGACCCTAGTCACAACACACCAAATGTAGCCTCATTTCTTAACATTGCCTTCTATTATTTCTTAATTTTAATGACAAAAACCATCTTCAAATTCCAGAAAAGAAAATATTCATTCACCCATGACCCAATGCTTAGGTACAATCTCCTTTTTCTCTGGATCCAAAATTAAAACCCATGGAAACAGTAGCCAAGAAATCACATGACCCTATTTGGCAAATCCTCCACAAACTCTCTGTTTAAGGCATTTAAAAGCTAAGATGACAACAATGAATGAATGAAAATCCAAAATCTTTGTAAATTTTCATTAAAATTAATAAAATAAAATTAAAAAAAACAAAAACAATTAAGAGTATATAATAAAAAATAAAACTAATCACCATTAAAAAAAAGCTAAGATGACAAAGACATAAATCAAAACAACTATGAAGTACCATTTCACCCCAGCAACAATAGCAAAATTCAACAGGGCAGCAAACAACAAATGCTAGCAGGGTTGTAGAGAGATTGGAACGCTTATTTACTGCTAGTGAGAATATAAAATAGTATAGCCACTATGGAAGGTGGTATGGTGCTTTCTCAAAAAGTTGGAAATGGAAATAGAAATACCATTTGACTAAGCAATTTCACTATTAGGTATAAGCCCTAAAGAAACCAGAGCCACAACTCAAACAGATGTATGCATACCTATGTTTATTGCTGCATTATTCACAATAGCAAAGAGATGGAAGCCCAAGTGCCCATCAAGATGGAAGCACCCAAGTGCCCATCAACAAACAAATGGATAGAAAAGTTATGGTATATTCACACAATTGAATATTACTCAATATTGAAAAACAAGAAACTCATAAAATATCACACACCATGGGGGAGTCTGGAGGACATTATGCTGAGTGAAAGATCTCAGTCACAAAAGGACAAATACTGCATAACACCACTGTTATAAAACAGGATGACATGGAGGGTTGTGGGGTAAATAGGAAAAGAGAGGATAGATAATGAAACACTACACTGGAACAGATGAGAAGAACTGTCCAAAAGGATTATATGACTAGGCATTACATGTATGACAGCAATCTGGAAGACAAGGTGTATTGCAAAATAGACTGGGGGAGGGGATAAGGAGAGGGAGGGAAGAAAATGTGCAACAATGAATGGATAATTAAAAAGTGTTCCTCTGAGGACTAAGGTGTGTCTGATTCAAGCCATGGTATTTTCAATTGCATCATATTTATGTGATAGTTGAATAGTAAATAAGGATGACTAAAGAATTGAGGTTTTTGTACTTTGTACATTTTATCAGGAGGGATGGGTCTCTGGGGATGGACATCATGTTTGGTGATGTAGAAGGTAAGTTAAAAAGAGGACCCTTGAGGACAGATTGACACCGTCGCTGCAACATTAACTCAAACATCAACATTATCATGATGATGACACAGGATCTAGCGATGCACACAGAACTGTCATGAATTAGAACTGGCTTGACTGAACCTTCACTAACTAATACAAACACATTCAAAAGGTGGACAGTTTAATGGAAAAGCCACAGAATTTTACTTAATCCACATCTTATTAGTTCTATGATGTTAGTCAAGTAGCAAAATCAAATAAAATAACCATTAAGCAGCACAGAAATTTAACTAATCACTTTGTGACTTTTTAAACACATAGCTTTATCCTTTTAGTCTGTTACTTCATTGGTAAAACATAGACTAAATCACTCTGAAGTGTCTTTCGTCTTGAAGATTTTATAACACAACATAAATTTTGAAGGTGAAGGTCTAAGACAGGTTTGTAGCAATAAAATAAAAATTACTGAACTCACATCAGCAATGTATTTAATTGATGCAATTCAGATTATCAGACTTCCTGGGTTGAGAACATAGCACAAATATTTAAAATCCCCTTCCATTCCTTTCATCTACTCTTTCCGAAGGAAGATGTAAAATTACCTTATTAGATTGAACAAGCAAAGAGCAAAACTAAACAACTGACAAGTAGATATTAAAGTAATTAAATATTCAAATGTTGTGGAAGTTATAGCACTGATTTTAAATAATGAAAAATGGTTTACCTGTGGTGCAAGAAGAGGGAGCCTGATATAAGCCAGAAGTTTACTGAGATCTTTCCGTCTCTGTTCCAAATCATGACGGACCCAAGTGAGAAGGGCATTCAGTATTGTTTCTTCATTGGGAATGTTCATGTCATCACTGGCCAAGAGCTTTGCAATTTCACTGGCTGGTAACAACACAAATTCCTGGTTTCTAATTACTTCCATAAAATGCTCCTAGAGGGAAGAACAACATTTTAACAATATTGTTCCTTCTGGCTATCATAGTTTACTTAAAGGAAACTGAAAGTTTTTTAAAATCAGATGGCCAAAGCACAATTTCGACTTTATTACTACTTAGAAGGAAAGAAGCAATTAAAATAAAAACAAATCCTAAATGTAATTATATTGGTTTTTTTCTTCTATATCAGTAGAATTAAAATGCTATATCATTCATTGTATCTTTAAAATGGATTTGGGACATTTAGATACTGCTTTACACCATTTAGGGAATAGCTTTCGCACGTCTTTCAAAGCAAGACAGAAAAATTAATTAGGCACTGAGAAGTAAAATAATCAGAAACTAGTTTGGATATGTGGTTGCTGAAGAATTTGGTCAACAACAGAGCTAGGCAGCTGGGTGAGCCTTAGTGTAATTTCTCTCAGCCAGGAAAGGCCTCCAAACCAGTTAGATTTTCATTTCCCAGGATCATTCAGAACCACATATTATCTTGTCAGAGTTTCCAGGAAGAGTAAATTCCTTTGGGTATGTTGTTAGAACAGGCCAGTCCTTGGAAAATGACAGCATGCTTGCAAAGGTGGAAGGTCAGTCAAAGAGGGGAAGACTCAAAACAAGATGGACTGACACAGTAGCTATTGCAATGGGTTCGAATGAATAGGTATGGTGAGGATAGTGCAGGATAGGGCAGGGTTCAGATCAGCTGTTCATAGTGTTGCTATGAGTCATGGTCGATCCGATGGTACCCGTAATAACCCTATAATGAAATTGACATTTGAAAGTACTTTAACTGGTGATGTGAAAGACCACCAATATCTTACAGCAGTATTGAGTATTCTTCACTCTTCTTACATAATTTATGTTCAAGTTCTTTTGGTCTCATAGGTAAAAGAATTACGCTTAAAAGGTGGCTCTAGATGGGACTGAGACTGGAGACCTTTGAACTCAAGGACTCAGTCCCTGGCCTCAGGCTACAATTTACTCCCCAATATTTTACATGGGATCTAAACATGCCTAGGCTGTTATGATAAATATTCTGAAGAAATCAGAACTTCTTCTCTGGTATGATAAATCAAAATGCATAAATATACTACATAGTTATAAGTCTAAGTGCTAGCCATTTTGTTTCCTAATGCTTTTCTTATGTTTTCCAATGAATTATCACTGTCTCCACATGCAGTTTTAATAAAATAGTAAAGCTACTTAAATCAGAACTAGGACTATATATAACTATCTTTTATGTTAAAATAAGAATTATACTTTCTGCATAGCCTGCTGTCACCCAATTTAGCTATTGATCTAAAATATATCCTTTGAATTGACAATCTTTTCAGTGGAGAATCTTAAGAGGAAAAACTATACATGAATAATTAACTAAATTAAATTGCTTCAATTCATCATGGTAAAGTTACCCAAATGAATCTATTTTAAATGACTGATTATAATTTTAGAATATATTTTAATAAAGACTCAATGCTGGAATGGTTTCAAGCAAGCAGCTCTACTCATTTGTACACTGACATTATAAAATAACTAGAAGCACACAGTAAGAGCTAGAAAAATCTTGAAATTCTAAACCTAGCTCTCCCATTGGCAGTTTAACCCTTAATAAATATTTTCAGAACTATTTATTATTTTCTCCCCAACATATTTTTGAAAAAAAAAAAAGCTCACTACATGCCACTCAGGATAAGAATCTTAGTCTTCTTGTTGTTGAGCTTTGATTAATATTGAAGACTACAATCCTTGACCTGAAGCGAGCACTTCAGGTCCTCTTCAGTTTCAGCAAGCAAGATTGTGTCATCTGCATAATGTAGTTTGTTGATGAGTCTTCCTCCAATATTGATGCCACATTCCTCCTCATAGAACCCAGCTTCCCAAATGATCTGTTCTGCAAATAGATTGAAAAGGTATGGAGACAGGATGCATCCTTGACGCACTCTTTTCTGATTTTGAATCATGTAGTGTTTCCTTGCTCTGTTCTGATGACTGCTTCCTGGTCCAAGTATAGGTTTCCCATTAGCACAATCAAGTGTTCTAGGATTTCCATTTTCCTCAAGGTTAGTCACAATTTGTTGTGATTCACACAGTCAAATGCCTTTGTATAGTCAATGAAACACAAATAGACATTCCTCTGGTACTCTTTGCTTTCTGCCAAGATCCATTAAACCTCAGTTATAACGTCTTTAATGTCATGGTCTCTTCTAAACTCAGCTTATATTTCTAGTTGTTCTATGTCAATGTACTGTTTCAGTTGTTTCCGGATAATCTTCAGCAGAATTTTTCTGGCGTATGATATTAGTGATATCAAGAAGACAAAGATTCTCACCATTGGGCTAACTGGCAGAATCATGACAGATGGAGAAGAGATCAAGGTTGTTTAACAGTTACAGCTTCTTTGGTTCCACAATTAACACTCCTGGCACCAGTTAGGGAATCAAAGGATAACTGCATTGGGAAAATCTGCTGTCAGGGACCTCTCCAGAGTACTGAACAGTAATGATGTCAGTCCAGACACTAAGGTGCACCTAATATGGTCCATGTCTTTGCAATTACTTGCTATGCATCAGAGAGCTAGACAACAGGATGACAGAAAAAAATTGATGCCTTCGAGTTATGGTGCTGGAGAAGAGTCTGGAAAATATGATGGATCACCAACGAAACAAACAGGTCTGTCTTGGAGATGGTGAAACCAAGTTCTCTTTGGAGGCTAGGATTTTAAAGCTCTGTCTCACATACTTTGGGCATGTGGCCAGGACTGATTGGTCCTTGGATAAGGCCATCATGCTTGGAAGGGTGGAGGGACAGTGTAGGAGAGGAAGACTCTAGATTTAATGGATTGATAAAGTAACTGGGGCTACAGGGGTTGGTGTGTCGGAATCTGTGAGACTGGCTCAGGACAGGGCAGGCTTCAGAGATGCTGTATACAGAGTCTCTATGGTTGCAGGCAACTTGACTGCACATAACAACAACAATAACAACAACAACAACATATGCCACCACAGTATTCTATGTAAGATTTGTAGGACAGGCTATTCTTTGGAAAGATGTTCAGTGAAAGACCAAATGAAAAAATTGAGGGGATAAAAAAAATATCAGACAAAGATCACATACCTACATGGAAAGAGAATTACAATGTTAACTTAGATCGTAAAAATATTACAAATAATACACATGTCTAATTATCTGAAGTTATCACATATAGTATAATCAATATATTTATCCGATGTTTATGTAACTCTTGCCATCTGCCATACTGTGATACTACATATGATACTACATTTCATTAGTGAGAAAGGTTATTATGTAAACGTTCCTTTGATCTCTTGGTGACCTACTTAAAGCCCACTCCATCCCAGGATAATTCATGTTGTTGTCATTGTTGTTGGGTGTTGTTAACTTGGAATGAACCCATAGCTGACTCTCCAGTTAGTTATCAGAGACAGTAAATAGCACAGAAGGAGATTACCACCTTTCTCCTGCATAGCAGCCAGTGGATTCAAACTGCATGCCTTTGAGAGTGCAGTGCAGCTTCTTACCACTAGGCCACCAGAGCTCACAAGTATAATTTATATTTTGTTAAAATGAAACTTTTCAGCAATTTATAAAAATAATTCTAGAGTCAAGGTTAAATAAAATTTTTTTTCAAGGGGCTGACTTGAGATGACACCCTTTCCAGACCCTGGCACACAAGCTGCTTGAGCTTGTGGCCCTAATCTCCTTCCACTCCAGAATCAAATGAAGACATTAAGCTGCAGGAGAAAAGGTAAGAGAGGTGAGGCTCTGTGCCAAGAGTGAGCATTCTCCACTGCTTGTGGGGAGATGGGATTGAGGCTTCCCTAAGGATATAAGTTCCTCCATTTGAGGATCCTTGCCTCTGTGACTGCAGGGCCATCCCAGGGCCAAACAAGACAAGACACTTTGGGGCACAGAGCTACTCTCAGAGGGAAGACTTTCTCAGCTCTCTGTGAGAGGAAGGACCAACTTGAGACCCCTTTGCACACAAGCTGGAAGCCCTGATCTCATGCCACTCCAGAGATAAAGGAAGACATTAAATTTCAGGAGAAAAGGTGAATGAGAAACTGCTCGAGTACAGCACGTGGTCTCACACCATTCAAAGAGGAGGACAGAAGAGTTGGTGACAGGGGACTACATCAAGATGAGATTCCTATGGGGCTGCAATGCAGATCAGAGAGAACCTCAAGGACTTTAGGAAAGACAAATTCTCCCAGAAAGGACTTTTAACAGAGTGAGAGGCTTATTCCATAGATTGAACATTTTAACTTGACAACTAATGAATAACATCATAAAGATAAGAATCAACAACAACTTACACAGACACAATAGAAACAGCCCAACACTTATCAAGAAAAATGTCACATAAAGTTTAAAAAGCCTTAGGCAGCTTTAAATACCATGGGGAAAAGCCCTAAAAACAACCACGTTAAGACATCTTAAAAAAAAAAAAAAAAGCAGAGAATATTGCAGACCTCATGAATACCCCTCAGTAAAGAAGGCAGATGATAAATGTTAATATGGAGACATTAGAAATACTACTAATGACAGTACAAATGATGGAAGATACAACGGAAACCAAAAATAAAGGGAATAACCTAGAGGTAGAGAATCAGAAGAAATATAATGATGAGGAGTGATTTGAACAGCTATGGAAGAAGGTGCAAATGATGGAAGAAACAATGAAAACCACTAAGAAAGCAAATGCTCCAGAAACATGGAGCCAAAATAAATATAATGATGAGGAGGAATCTGCACAACTATGGAATAAATTGCAAAAGATGGAAGAAAGAATTGAAACTCTAGATAAAGAGGTACAAGAATTTAAAAAATCATCACAAGATAGAGAGAGTGCTGCCAACACAGTACTGGAAATAACAAAAATGCATGAAAATGCAATCCAGAATATTAAGAGGAAATGGTAGAAGTGTCCAATATGTTTGAAGGACAAAAAAGTAGAATAGAAGAGATGGAGCAGAGAGCC